TAATGGCGTTTTTCACTATCCATTCAATTTCAGGCAACTATTGAAGTACCCGAAGACTATGACTACGCAGTCGTCATAGAATACCATAATCATGAGAAATCACAGTTGCCGCTTATCATCGAAATGGTCCAGGACGGAAATGTGAAGCTAAATGGCACCATCACTATACATAACTGCCCATTTGCGTAAGTCTCATGTGTTACAGAAAGAACCTACTGTATCCGGCATAAATACTGTAATCTTTGCAGAACATTCTGCCGTGAAGTGGTGACAGATGCTGGCAAAGTGGCTATGATTCCACTGGCCAAAGGACCAGCTACCGTACAGATGCATGTTACCGCCGAGAGCCGACTTTGGCCTTGCTGCTGTAAACCTTATTGCCAAGAAGGAATGGAATAACGAGTATCTGCAGCAGGTATAAAAGCATCTGTCCTATCAGGCTCAAATTAGAGCTACACAATCAATAGCGAAATTACAGGTTACCAGTGTGTGTACGCAAGGATGGCAGATGCGTTCCACAACAGTATCCTCCGGCCGGTAATTCTATTGTAGCCGAAGCCGAAGCTGGTCAAGTAAGTTTCCACGGGACCCGGGCGATTCTATCGTCGGCAAGACAGGTCACGTCGCACACGTCGCGTCGCGGCGTGTCGCGCGGCCACGCGGCGCGGCAATCCCGGCGTTGCATTACCGTACTCCCGAGTTGTCACTGGAGCAAGGGATTAGCGTTGTTTCAAAGGTAACCTCAAGAGTAAGAGTAATAGTCAATAATCATAACAGGAAAGGAAATAGGATAGGAAAGACATAATAGGAAAAAAGATAACCAAAATAGGATGACTCTTTCAAATTGTTGAAGGGATCGTCAACCCTTTAACAATTTGAACGCCGCGCAACAGAACTCGTACGCGGCGGCCGCCACGCCGCCGGCTCCGCCCACCGGCGCGACGACCCACTTCGGCACACACCCGATTCTCTTCATTCTCCGTTCACTTATCCGGGAACTATCTTCGCTTTTAGCAGTTTTGTTCGTTCCTGATGCATTCTTTATTCTGTTCACTCGTAGGAAGAACTCCGGTCGCAGGGCAGATCAAACTGCCATTCCTATCGCAATCCTTAAAGTGTGACTGTATGCCACTGGATGAAAGTCAGGTAAGATCGCGGCTGTAAGGGGGGGGGAGGTGCATGAGCGTGTCGTTTTGATTGCCGCGCGTCTTTGTCGCGTGCGGTGCGAAGACATTACCTACCTTTTCGATTGTCAAGGCACCCATTTTCAGGGAACTATCGAAGTGACAGGTGTTGTGCCTGCACGTGGACATTATATGTTCCTCGTACATTACTTCAATCCAGACAATACTCCCCTGAACATAGGAGTATTGCTCCAGAATGATCATTATTTCGAAGGTAAGCTCAATTAATCTCGAATCATCCTGTGTTAAGGTGCAGAGGCACCTCACTGCACAAACGTGATTTGGCGACTTAGAGATTTAGTATTGCCCATAGAGCTTGCCTCGTAACCTGATTTGAGGCACTGACCCCGCCCAAACAGTCAGAATAGACTGTATTTAATGTTTTGAATATTGGTCTCCAATAACGTGGCCTGATTAAACACCTCAACGAGTGTGTAGAGCCCAACGTTTGTTAAGAAATGCATGGCAGTGTCCAAGAGGCCGACAAAGGCATGCTTTCATAGGCAAGATTACTTGGAACTTTCAGAAAGTGAAGGAATTCTGCTTGATAATATTGGTTTGTTCCTTTCGTTTCCCACACCTCATGCACACCACACTAGCCATTTCCCAGCCTTTATCCTATCGCTTTCTTTCTATAATGCGCCTGGACCCTTGCAGTTGACTTTATTGTGTCTTGGAAAAGGATGTCCTATTACAGCTACCGTACCGCTGGCATACTGCCCATCGGTGAGTGGATGTCGGAGCGTTAATCAGGGACAAAGAAAAGCCAGAGGTGAGATTTCTTCAATAACTGCAAACATTCCCAGTGTTCACGCTCGCTTGTGCCAGGATTGTGATCAAAGCGTTCAATTCAGATTATTCAATTCTGGATGGAGGACAAGTACACGGCAACCCTTTACCACAACAATACCCAGAAAGGCCCAATATTTATTGTAAGTTACTACAGATTTCTCTTAAAATCCCTTATAAAGCTGTTCCGCAAGGCATTCGTTATGAATAAATTAGGTTCGGTTTCGCAGACTCTGAGCTGTATG